TTCTCTGGAAGTTCCATGAATTCAGTGGGCCTACTCTAGTTGTGACTTACTGTTCTCAGTGGACCTTATGGAGGAATTGACTCATCTGATCCCCACTGATATCTACTAAACCTGCTCTAGGGCATCTTGGCCTGCTAAGCAACAAAATTTCGGCCATTATTTCTAAGAGGCAAAGCCATAATTTGTGAATTTCAACATTTGACTTAAGGTGTGATTTACTCTGAGAGCAGAAGGGGTTGGTTTAGGAATTCTAGCATTCCAAGCCTGATGGGAGGGGGTCTGTTTTGAATACTTCTTTGCATCATCATCATCATCATCACCACCACCACCACCATCATCATAGATGAATTGCTGTTTCTGGCAGCCTCCATAAGTGATTTTGAAAGTAATGCAGCATCTCCTACAGAGAATGACAGGAAGTATTTCTCCTCTGCATGAAATATTTCGTGCAGGTGAAGAGAAAAGCTTTTCAGCCCCATCTGTCAGCCTCGCAAATTGTTCCAGACTGTTTATTGGCCTGGAAAGTTTTGGCTCGTCTTCATACCCAGGTTCATTTGTGTGGCCTTTATGGAAAAGAACCAGCTTGTGGAAAACGTCTCCAGCAACTTGCCTGGAGGTGATTCCAAATTCACCCCAGGTGAGGAACTGCTTATAAGCCCAGGCTAAGATAGGGGAGGAAACCCGGAGAATCTTCATGCTGAGTAGTAACCCTTTTTTTCTGCCTCTCGTTCCAACGTCTCGGGAAAGTGTGCAAAACTGCATAGCGCTGCATGCATTTCTTGGCACGGATTGCTTTTCCAGATTGAAACCAAATTGTCAGCTCAGATGGCCTGTTATTTTTAAATCCAGGAACTGTTTAGGCTCATTAGGCTGTTGATTCTCCGAACCACGCAACAACACAAATAAAGCTTGGCTCGCGTCTTTGCCGCGTTTCGAATGGGATCCTGCAGCCTGCCCAAACGCGGCTGTCTGCAAACGTAAATACCCAAGCCCCCTTGCTTGCCGCTCCCAACGTCTGTTTGATCCAGATTTGAACTCAAGACTTCCTGGAGGAACACAAGGTAGCGTTTGGGCGCAGCTCTAGCTTTTTATTTTATTTTAAATGTGGGTGATGAGCTTGGCTGTCTTGAGGAGGTGAGGCAGATCGGTCTACGGTTGGTGGTGTTCGTGAGATGCCGTGGGCAAATTGTGCTGAAATCCGGTTGCTTGTGATGTAAAAGACGGATTCTTGGATGGTGGGAGCCCATCACAGCTAACCGGGGGATAACCCCTGCAAGAGTAGCAAGGGGTGTTGGTAGGCTCTTGTTTAAGGGAAGGCTAGTCATGGTGTGCACTTGTATATGTTGTTGCTTCATGCTGTCAAGTTGAAACTGACTTACAGCGACCCTAATAAGGTTTTCAGGATAAGTGAGGTCTTTAAGGGGAAGGCTAGTCATGGTGTGCACTTGTATATATTGTTGCTTCATGTTGTCAAGTTGAAACTAACTTACAGCGACCCTAATAGGGTTTTCAGGATAAGCGAGGTCTTTAAGGGGTTGTTTTAACAGTTCCATACTCCAAGTGAGTTTCCGTGGCTGAGCAAGGTGCTTGGAAGCGCAGGTTTCAGTAGAGTTTGGAATGTTGCTTTTCTGAAGAAAGTTGTTCCTTTTGCTCATTTGTAGTGTTTACAAACAGTTCATCAGGGATGTTGGCAAGTCTTGGGGTCTGTATCTTTGGAACTAAGTCCCAAGTCTCTATTTAAAAAAAGCTAGCGAAGTTGACTCTTGAGTTATTGAAAAATGAACCCGAGTCAGGTCCCTGGTATGACTTAAGTCTGACTTGACAGCAAGTCCCGAGAATCAGGTTCCCGTCTCTACAGTTCATTAGTTAAGTCTGACTTGACAGCAAGTCCCGCGAGTCAGGTCCCCCTCTCTGCAGTTCATTACTCATGACAAGTGAGGTCTACTCATTGTGTTCGCTTGTGTTCCTTTCGTTGTGGTTGTTTCAAGTCCTTCAGACATCAGCGGTATGGAGCAGGGATAGATCCTGACCTTCTTGAAAATGAAAAAAAAAAAAGGGAAACGGCATTTTGAAAAAGGAACTAGAAAAGGTTACTTGTGACACCAGTAAAGTGGTGCCGTTCCAGACTGGGGTGTTGTGTTTGGACTGGAACTTTCTTAGGCCTTGGTTGCCAAGAAAAATTGCCGGCTCCAGCAAGCTGGATCCGTTGCGATGCCGTCTGCCCAGGCTCCACATTTAGAGCAGAGCGTGGGGTCCTCGAGAAGGATGCCACTTGTGACGTTGCAGTAGCAGCCGGAGCTGTTTGTCTTCACAGATGTGGCCCTTCAGCTCTTCACCCCTGGGGCTCTGGGGCTTTTGGGGGTTCCTCTCAGGGCCTGCTTCTCCTGCAATGTCTCTGTGCTGCAGGTTGGCTCCTGGCTTGTAAGTTCAATGCAGAACCTCATGGGATAGGGGCAAGGGAAGCAGAGGGAGGTCAAAGCCATGGGCATCCCTAGATGACCTTGAGGGGAGATGCTATCAAGGACGGAAGGACATGGAAGCAGTTCTGGAGAGTTAGGGGGAAACACCGGTGTTTTTCTGCTGCTCTTGACATCTTTGGTAGCCTTAGAGATGCCACTTGAATCAGGCATGCCAATAAGAAGCCCTGCAGGATGTTTACATGTAAACTCAGTTGGTAGTTCAACCTGGAGTAGACTCACTGAATCAATTAGACTTACATAAGTGTTGCCTTGCCAAAGTCAAGTTGATTCAGTAGCTCGGTTCCTATTAGGATTCTTGGCTTGTACCCACAAAAGTTCTTTCCCTTGTACCCACAAAAGTATGGTTTCGCAGTCAAGGTCTTTCAGAGGTTATTGGACTTCAATTCCCAAAATCCCCAACAAGCAGGGCCAATTGCAGGGAATTCTGGGAATTGGAAGCCCAAATTGTCCAGTGATCCAGAAGTTGAAATCAACTGTTCTGGACCAGTTGCTTTCAAAATTGCTGTGGGGTTCACCCAAAGTTGAGCATTTGGCCCTCCATCCTGACTCAAACAGCTGGTTTATCATGCTTGCGGGGGAATATGGGTGTTGCAGTTCCACATGTTTGGAGAGCGCTGGGTTGAGGGAAGTCAGCCTAGACTAAAATCTTGGCTGTTCACAGGACATAGGGCTTGGGAATAGGCTCATAAACAACCATCATTGAATGGTTTGCACTGAAGCAAGATGTGGTAGGAAATGGGGCTCAGCTCCTCTCATGCTGTAGGTTCCCATATGGTACATGGAGCATGCATAGAGTTCCATTGTCTTTACTGTAGAGTAATGATAGACACCATAGTTTTTTTTCTAAAGAGTGTGTGCATGTGTTAAATTCCAGAAGACGAGTCTGTAGTGCTATTTTTAAGAGAGGAAAACTGCCAAGAAAAAAAAAGAGCTGTCAGAATAATTTGTTCACATTTGGTCATTGGGAATACAATGTGCCTCCCAGCCATCCAGTTTTAAATTGACAGGCACCACAAGAATGATCAGAATGTAGCATCTAGTCTCTTTTCAGAAGGACGGCTGCTATTTGGGTGGCTCTCCGGCCGAGTCGGTCTCGCTGCATAGTCGGAATGGAACTGGCCTTAAAAGAACTGGCCCTTTTTTGTCTAGCAAGCCTCCGGCACTAGCTATGCATTGACCGGCAGCCCCCAAAGGTGGCTGGAAGGTGAAGGGACCAGTATCCCACTATGACTGGCGGGGCCACTTGGCGGTGGAGCAAGAGCACAACCATGTCCTGAAAATGAGAAGGCTCGCGACCGACTGCTTCCTTCGGTGTCTGGTTTCAAAGCTGATTTGCTTACTGCCATTCCCTTGTGTTCTCTCTACGTCACCTTCCCCGTCCAGGAAGAAAGGGTGTGCCAAAGTTGGGAATTCAGGAAAGGGCCGGAGGAAACATAGAGTCCCAAATCTCTGTCCCACTGGGAAGTATGGACAGGAGTAGCCCAGCAAGAGGGCCTGAATCTTGGGGTTGGAGAACAGGAAGATGAGGAAGACCAAGGGAGAAGGTAGATCTGGAGGCCTTTTGCATGCAAAGCATGTCCTTCCAACCCTGGGTTCTAGGCTGTGGTGGACTGACATTTTTGGGGGTCCTGAAGGTTGAGCTGTTAATGGGGGGCCACTTCACCACCAACGACAATATCTGGGAGACCGCCGTTGTCTAACGGGGTTGTTTCCCAACAGATCGCCACAGTGGCTTTAAAAACGTAGACCTCTGGGGTCCATTCAGGATCAGAGGCCCTGAAGCTTAATCTTCGTTAGTTTGGAGCAAACAACACAAGCGCTGTCACGGAGAGAAAATGAGATGAAGGAAGGAACAAGAGCTTTTTCCTCAGATTCCAGTCTGCATGGATTGGTGCCTTCCAGTGAAGTGGTGGCTTTGAACCAGATGATGCATTTTTTTTCCTTCTTAGGAGTGTTGATCTGACTGGGGGCAAAGGCCCAGATCACCCTCATTTCCCTCTGCTCCTCCTCCTCCTCTCTCCAGACAAACACGGCTCACCAGCTGATTTAATGCTTGGCAAACGTGCCAGTTGGAACCGTGCATTTCCCGGTGAAATTTCAGCTCTGGAACAGAATGATCTAGGGAGCCTAGCTTGTGATTTTTCCCGCCACCTTCCTCATGCCTGTAAAATGCAAAAACATCCTAGTGGGTTTATTCTAAATTTGGTCAAAAGGCACGCAGGCCTGGCACCTCCTCTCACGCCCTCCCCGAGCTGGGAACGATGGGCCAACATAATTCCAGACTTCCATAAATGCTCTCTTGGACAAATAGTTAAACACATTTTTTTTTTGCAAGGACTCAGCCCGCCACCACCCATAGTTTATGAATAGTTTTATTTTATCCAGAACGATGTGGATTTGTGATTGTCTGGGGCATGCTGGGGGTTGTAGTCCAAAAACCCGAAACCCATACATGTCTGAATTTTTTTTTCCTCCTATGCTCAACAAAACATTTCAGACCTTCTTTTCCCTCCTCCCTAGGGCCGATGCACTCGGGAAAACTGCAAATACCTGCACCCCCCGCCGCACTTAAAGACGCAACTCGAAATCAACGGGCGCAACAACCTGATTCAGCAAAAGACGGCTGCCGCCATGTTTGCCCAACAGATGCAGTTCATGCTACCAGGAGCACAGTTGCAGCCCATTGTAAGTCACAGCGACAATTCTGAAGTGTCAGACTTCTTGAGTCTGACACTTTGGTCCAGCGTCCGTGTAACTCTGGGTAAGAGACCGAGGGCACCTCAGTGGGCTTCAGGACTGCTGGCGGAGATGTTTCTTCCGGGTTTACTACTAACAGTGGTCAGCTGCAGTGTTACAAGTAAAATATTACATCCGCATCAAAGATTACAGTCTTATAGACAGCAGAATGTTGTGTTTGCAACATTCAGCCTAATCATGGCTAGCATTAAACTGGGATTGGAGTCAGGGTTAGATGTTGGCTTGCGAAGCTTGGTCAGAAAACAAAGAACTCATGTTCCTTTTTCCATTTTTATTTCATAGACTGTGTTCGAGGTAGAGCAAGCGTTAGTGGGGCTTAGTAAGCTTAGGGCCTTAATCAGATCCATAATGCTACAGATTGATTTTCCTCTTTCACCTATCAATATTTTAAGCCCACATTAATGCTGGTTTGTAAGAGCGTCCTTAGGGAGGACAGAAGTGGGTGGCTGCTGATGAAGCATTTTAATTCCTTTTTATTAGTGTATAATGTGCAGTGTTTTGGAATTCTTTAACCTATGTTACCTTGCTGAATGTCTGGAAGTCTTGGACACAGGGAGCAAAATTCTAGACTGAAGTGTGCTTTCATCCCAAATTACAATCAGGGTGTCATGGGCTTTTATTTTCTATTTTTTTTCAACTTGGTAGCAATGACAGGAGCTGCAGTGTGTTAATCCCTTAAAGGAGGCAAAAAATCTTCCTGCCATTTCTTCCTCTGTTCCGCCTAACCAAGAGAAGCAAAACTCAGCCTTAGGTTGCAGCCACATCACAGTGCCCCCCCTCCCCAGAAACATTTGGAAAACCACACTTTTCCAGCCCTGAAGCCAGGTTCTTAAGAAACAGGGAGAGGCTGATCCCCGGGATGATAAAAGCAATCCGAAGGGTTTGATCATCAGCAGGAAAGGCAGGGAAGCCTCTCCCCCCTCCCCCTGAGAATACCTTCCCAGTTCATGGAGGCTCCTCGAGAGCCAGACATGCCATGACGGGTGCTGCTGGCAGCTCTTGGCTGCAACCGCTTGATTGACATCCAAGAAGCATCAAGGCTCCGTCATCAGGCCCCATGCCAGTTGCGGCTGGTTTTGGAAGCATGGCCCATTTGAATTACGCTTGCAAGCATGCCTGAGCATTTCTGTGGCAGAGCAGAAATGGCAGCTTTTGGGGGCTGATTTCACCACAAGGCAGGGGGTGTTGTTGTTGTTGTTGTTGTTGTTGTTGTGGCCCACGTTTGTTGTGTTCAGGGCATCGGCAGCTTTTGGGGGCTGATTTCACCACAAGGCAGGGGGTGTTGTTGTTGTTGTTGTGGCCCACGTTCGTTGTGTTCAGGGCACCAGGAGGGATCTCTATGCTAGTCTGTTGCCTGCAGCACAATGGAATGCGTTGGTACCTCCAAGATCTTCATGGTTGTGACATCTCAGTTTTTAGAAAGCATTTTTTTTTGGGGGGGGGGATGAGTGATCAGACAGCAACTCTTAACACACAGAGACACACATAAACACTGTGTCTGCTACTGTTCTGGGAAATTGAGAAATAATGTACCTATCCCTTATCTCATTTGTTTGTTCATTTCATAGATTTATATACCGCTGACTTAGTGTGGGGCACTAAGCGGTTTACAAACATAAAATAAGCAATGGCCTGAACCTCCCAACAAAGCCAATAAAATAAGTACCTGCTTCAAATAAAACCCTAAATGATGCAGACTCCAGGGTGCCACATATAGACCAAGGTTGGAAAAGTAACTTTCCCAAGTTCTGGATGGGAGCCAATATGCCACTGAAGTACAGGTGAGGAGAGCAGTAGCAGGAGATGGCCACAGTCCAGGAGGTGGACACCCCATGGTCCTCCAGATGTTTGTAGACTACAGTTCTTAGCATTCTGGGCCACTATCTGTGCTGGCTAGGGCTGATGGGGTTCAGAGTCCAGAACACCTGGAGGCTTACACCCATCCCAGGTTATACCTCAAGTGCCAAGGTGGGAAAACCTTTTGGTCTCCAGATGTTTGAGACTACAGGTCTCATTCTCCCTTACATTGACCCCATTAGGTAATGGCTTCTGGGAACTGAAGTCTGGAACATTTCAAAGACCCAAGATTAGGGGCTAATCTGTGCCTTGCTTGTTGGCTTCCCAAAAGGTGTCGACAAGAGTTTTGGCTGTTGCTGGAAGCCAACTGTTCGACAAGGGCAGATTTTTGTTATGATTCGGGCTCTCTGGGTGGGGAAATGATCTGGACACGCTTTTAATTATTGTTACTTTATGAATCCCAGAACTGATGTAGGAAAGTGTGTCCCTTACACCTTACTTCCACAAAGGCGTAGAACAAGCTAAACCCATTTGAGTTATGTGTCCTGTTTTGTTTTGTTTTTTCCGCCCCCAAAAAGAAGAAGAAAAGTAGTAATTTGTGCCAAAGCATCTCCGGGTTCCTTGCCAAGAAAAGCTGGATCGTCAACTTGGGTTTGGTGTGCAAACGCATGTTCGTGCGCCTGTTTTGGGTAGATCTGTCTCTGCAAAGCTCAGGGAGGCGGGAGGAACTTCACATGGCGTTGTGGGTGGCGCTGCGCTTGGAAGAGCCTGGGGCAAACAAGGAACGGTTAAACCACACATTTTTTTCCTGGACGCATCTTCTTTATTAGAGTCCGTTTCCAAAGGCAACCCCCCCCCCAATGCGCTCTGCAGCCGTCCAAAAGCCCATTGTGATGACACTTCCTTCCTAGGAATTCCACATCATCTTTCTGACCCTATTTGGTTTACTCATCTTGGCCATTTTAATATACTTTTTGCATTTATGTGATGAGCTGATGTGGTGTAGTGGACAAAGTGACAGACTAGGACTCTAGAGAACTGGGTTCAAATCCCCAGTCCACCATGGAAACTCATTGGGGGAGTGGAAATTTTAAAACCACTTCTCAAATGTTGCACGTACCTTAATAACCCTGCTAGGAATGTCACAAATCGGAATGGACTTGATGGCAGACAAGAACAACAACAGCTGATAAACATTGAAGTGATGTATTGATTAATACGTGGATTGTAACAGTAAAAATGAAAAGCAACCCCCCCCCTTGACCTTCCCTGTGAAAGCCTGTGTTTCCCAGTGCATCTCATGCCCAAGTTTGGGTGCATCCGTTTCCGTTGACAAACCATGAATGGGTAGAGTGTGTGTGAGAGGTTCCTGTGCTAATTGCCCAAAGTGCCTCCATAATTGTTTCATTAAGTCCTTAACGATCCCAGGCTGTTCTTTCTCCCTACCGATCAAGATGCCACCAGCTTGAAATGCACTGCTGTGTCCCCGGATCAATACAGGAGGAGGGAGAGGACGGTGAGCAAAAACGGCAGAAAACTAATTTCTAAAACTGGAGAATGGACATTCTCCTCTGAGCTGGCGAGATCGAGGTTGCTTCTAAACATGAAAGGGAGATAGGACGGTGCTTTTCAAATAATTGAAGGGTAGTCATCCAGAGGAGAGACGGGATCCGTTCTCGATAGTTTCAGAGGGCAGGAAATGTAATAATGGGCTCAAGCTATAGGAGGCCAGATTTCGGCTGAATATCAGGAAAAACCTCTCAACTGATACATGGAACCCATGATCTCAGGAGGAGGTGGTGAGCACTCCAATGATGGAGCCATTCAAGAGAAAATTGGACCGTCATCTGTCGGATCTGCTTTGATTTGGATTCCTGCCTTGAGCGGGGGTTGGACTTGATGGCCTTAGAGGCCCCTTCCCACTCTATGATTCTAACATTCTAACTCCCGGTTCTTCTGCTTTCCTTTCCCCCCCTACAGACGACGTTTCCGGTGACCCCTTCGCTTGCAAATAACCCCACCATGGCGTTTAGCCCATACCTGAGTCACATGTCTCCCGGAATGGGCTTAGTCCCTGCAGAGCTGTTACCAAATACGCCGGTTCTGGTCTCCGCGAACCCAGCTGTTTCAGTACCAGGAGGTTCTGCTGGGCAGAAACTGATGAGGACAGATAAACTAGAGGTATTTGAGCTGGCTGTAGGGTTACCTGAGTGTTGTCTTACTCGAGGGGAGGAGGCAGATGGTGGGGTAAACTTTGACTGAGGATGTGAGTCTGGGTTGGTTTTTCCACCATGTCTTTTAGTGGGGACCCTGTGTCTTGCTGGATGTTGGTGGAGCTTGACTCCTATCCACTCTAGATATACCTTTGTATGAGGATGATGGGAGTTGATGTGAAACCACCTCTGGAGGGCCACTGGTTGCTCCCTCTGTGTTTTTACCAGAATGCAGAATCAAGCCACTGTTCCAAAAACAGAGCTACACAAGTTATGGTGTACGAAATACTCCAGTTAGCTTTTCTCCCACCATTGGCTTGGTGCACTGCAGCTCATCGTGGGAGTTGTAGTCCAACATATCATCACCTAGAGGGTCACCGTTGTGCCCAGCTTTGCCTTAAAATCTTTGCTGTTCATTTCAGTATAAAGTTTGTAGACCGTTCAACCCGTAGTCGAAAGGGAAGGACATTCTTGAGGTCTCTTTTATTCCTGTTGATCTGATTGTTATACCCCCTTTTCAAAATTAAGTGTATGAAACAAGTGCATGTTTAAATTTGTTTCACAGCTTCCATCCTCTGGGGTGAGTTGAGCTTTTTAAAGTAAATAGTGAACAAGAACATAGCCTTCTCCGTGAGGAATCCCTTCAATTTCCAGCTGAACTCCGAAAAGAGTCCATATCATTTACATCGATCACCCTAAACCGACTTCTCTTTGTGAGGTTTTGGTGCTGGGTTCTTCCAATTACATTGGGAGGTGGTGAGCGCCCCAACACTGGAGGTGTACAAGAGAGAATTGGACAACCCTCTGTCAAATCTGCTTAGATTTGGATTCCTTTCTTGAGCAGGAGGTTGGGCTTGATGGCCTTAGAGGCCCCTTCGAACTTAACGATTCTATAATTCCTTGTGACAGGAACTGTAGTCCAGTGAACGGAAAGAAATTTCACCGGCTACCTTTGAATCAGGATGTGGTTCTCCCTGTGTTGGGGAACCTAGCTAGTAGGGAAGGATCATGGGAATTGTAGTTTTAAAACATCTGGAGAACCACAGATGCCCGGCTAGAACCTAGGAAGGAGACAGGATGAGATCCAAGTTTATTTCTGTTTACTTGAAAGGGGGAAATGTGGGGATCTGGCGTGCCGGAATAGATGGGTTTATCATTATCACCGTTTCCTTGTTTGAATAATCCGGCTTTCTTTTAAAGGTTTGCCGAGAGTTTCAGCGTGGAAACTGCACGCGCGGTGAGAACGATTGCCGTTACGCTCACCCGATCGACGTGGCTATGATCGACACCAACGAGAACACGGTCACGGTTTGCATGGATTACATCAAAGGGCGATGCTCCCGGGAGAAATGCAAGTACTTTCACCCCCCTGCTCACTTGCAAGCCAAAATCAAAGCAGCTCAACACCAGGTGAATCAGACTGCGGCAGCCGCCATGGTAAGGGAATAGTCGCCGGCCGAGACTTTGCTGAATCTTATGAGTTTATGCCCCAAAGAGAGAGAGAGAGAGAGAGAGAGGAAGTCTTCTGGAAGTGCCTTTAAATGATCCATCTTAGCCCAGTCTTAGCCATGCTTTCTCAGAATTAAGTCCCACAAGGGTCTATGGTTTCTTACTCTTTGGCTTCCATAACCATCTCTGAAGCCTTGGATTTGTTTCTGTTACCTTAGAACAGCAGAGCTGGAAGGGACCCTGTGGGTCATCATCTAGCACAATGGGGGAATCGAACTCCCAACCTCTGGCTTCACAGCCAGATGCCTAAACCACTGAGCTCTCCAGTTCTTATTAGGATTATAATAGGTATTGTCTCTGTCTTCCTTTGTTTGTCTCGGAGGATTCCACAATTTGAAATGAATGGGTGGTTGTGAAATATACCGTATTTTTCTGTGTATAAGACTATACTTTTGTCTAAAACTTTTAGACTAAAAATTGAGGGTCGTCTTATAAACAGAAGGAAGCTGAGGGAAGAACAAAAACAAGTGGAGGGGAAAGCAGGGATCAAAGCGATCTTGCAGTGCTTTGATCCCTTTCCCCCTACACTTGCTAAGCCCCACTTAGATTTCTTAATTTTGGATTAGAAAAGGGGGGGGCGTCTTATACATGGAGGTGTCTTATACACGGAACAATACGGTAGGTAAAATTTGAAACAGATTAAAATGTTAAGGTAATTAGACTGTTTTGGACCAGAAGCGGGCTGCTTCAAGAACGTGATCTTGGCCATTTGTTAGATCTGGTGGGGCATAAATTGTGCGCATGAAAACGCTGCATTGATTTGAATTTCCCCACGGTCACAGGAAACCTAAATCTAATAGCATGAGAATCTCTTCCCTCTGAGAAAAATGTTCTTTGAATTTCACTATTTTGGGAGCTGTTAAAAACTTACCTGTTGGTGCAAACATTTGGGGACAAGCAGGTATCTAATCCCTATTCGGCTGCTTCTTTTTTTTTGAGTTGTTTTCCTTGCGTTTAAAAATCTCTGGTTTTTAGAAATTTGTCATTCGATTGATTAGCATGCAATTTGTCATTTTTTCAAAAACAACGGTCTATCAGTGTTAATGTCAACTGTGTATTTTTCTTTAGATGTTCAGTCATGGTTGAATCCTAACAAGAAAGCACAGGATATACATCAAACAGATATTAAAATTAATTGTATTAGTAATTTAATTTTTACATCACCCTCTCTCATAAGGGCACCTAACAGTTCATATGAAAGCAAACTTAAAATTGCAGATGGCCAATAAAAAAATCTAAAAAGAGTGTCGGGAACATTTCTTAATATGTAATCAAAACTGTGCGAATAAACAGTAGTGAAAAACAGGTCAAATGCTTGATTAATCTTCCAAAACTTGTACAGATGGATCTGTATTGAGCTAGCGCCTAAAGGAGAGGAGTGGGGGAATCCATAAATAAGGTAGCTTTATGGGTCACATTGCTCTCGAGTATTATAAGGAGAGCCTTCCCAGCTGATCTTAAACCTCAGGGGGATCCTTTGGCCATGTTTCTGTCTGTCTGTCTGTCTCTGCTTGTACAATTTACAGAAGGTTTCCTAAATGCAATTATGATTCACCCCAGGTGACGAGGGGCAGAAGGGTTACTTACAAGCCTGGGTTTGGAACATGCTTGAAAGAAAAGATAAAAAAATCTCTGGTCTTCCTTTAGGATGCAGATCTACTGATCTCATCCCGGTAGAACAAGGCTGGGCTTCCCTGCCAGCTAAGCAAGATAGGGTTGCCCATCTCTCGCTCGCAAGCACTTGAGGCAAGACACTTGCTGAAGCTAAGCAGGCCTGCATCCCCTTGAGGCCTGGATGGGAGACCTGAGGTCTCTAGAAGGAGCCCCGTCAACAAAGCCTATGATCCCCCCATCAAAAAAATAAAAATTTAAAAAAGGGAGGGCAGAATGGAAATATACTGAAAAACTACCCTAGTTGGGTTCAGTCCTTTAGTGCATGGAGCGAGGTGCTGACGAAAAGGTTTCGTGGTTAATGCCCAATTCTGGACACGGACGCACACTACTTGTTTGTAAAACACATACGTTTATAGACACACAAGCAACGACGGTTTGTAAAGTGCATGGTGGGAGGAGAGCCCTTATTTTTTTTTCCTCCACATCCATGAGGACTAGAAACACAGTATTCTAAAAACCAATAAAACCACCCGCTTTGCAGGAAGCCTTTGCCAGCCCAACTGGCGGCCAATAGTGAGCAGGGGACCGAAATCCCTTTGGAAACGGTGGCTGGGCCGTGCTTAACTTCCGCAGGGCAGCCGGTAGCCTTTGGCCATCAAGCCAGGCGACGGAGCCGACCTTTGCGTGTTTGTGTAGAGTGTTCACCAGCCCATTGCATTTGTGCATGTGTTTGTCTGTTTCTTCAATATATTGTATGATGCATTCATTTTTAATTTTTTGTTGTTGTTTCTCTTTGCCTACTCCACAATGTCACTCTCCCTTTATGGCACGCTCTTCTGCTTGCTGTTTCTCTGTTGTCGTGCTTGAAAACAACCCCCCCGTCCCCAAAACTTCCTTGGCTCATTACCATCACACGCGCGCTCGCTGCCTGCTAATTAAGACTCAGCCAGCTGTCCGATCGCCGAAGCGACCCCTCGAGGCAACCTTTGACCTGGTACTTTGACCTCTTGCCTTCTCGCTTTTGCATGTAACCATCTGTAAATTGCATGGGGGGGGGACCCTCCTTTCTCTCCCTCTTCCTCTCCCTCATTTTCTGTCTCCTTTATCTGTCATACTTTGTGCATGACCTCCGGAGACTGTGCATCAGGCGAGAAGTGTGAGCCTTTTCATTTCCGTGGCACAGTCCACGCTCTCCCCATCCCATTCCCGCCCCCAAGTGAAAAGCACTCCACTTCTCTAGTTAAATGAAGAAGTGCTTCAGAGATCACGAGATGCCTTCTTCATCTCTGCAACCCCTCTCCAAAAAAAAAAAAAAAAGAGCAAACCAACTAACAAAAAAATCCAGATGCAGCTTAGGAGCAAATGTAATTACCTCTGTGTTTTCACATTAAGCTGTTTGCAAACACTGACAGCTGCAGATTAGGTTGTCGGTTTGTTATTTTATAATTTTGGGAGCACGACAGGTCCGTTTTCACACCTTGGGCTTAAACGGCCATGGGGATCACCCCCAAGGGGCTCGAGAAGCATGGAAACCCACAATCTCCCCGAATCTGTTTCAGTTTTGGTTTGCTAGGGACTTGTGTTTGTTATAAACTTCGCCTGCTCTGCAATACATACACAAAGTCCAGTCCTCGCTGGAACGGGAGCTTAGGAACAAAGCAAGGAACCAGGAAGGCAAAAATACTGAATAGGCGCTGGGTTGCACTGCAAACTTGGGGGGTAGTGGGTTCTGGGAGGTGCAGCGCAAGCAGAGGGTGCAAATCATCTTGCAGGATGTAGAGACTAGCTTTTCTCAGTTCTTCTTAGCTATAAAAATGAGCTTGCAGCTCTACAGGAGGGAGGGAAAGGAGAGAAAGAAAGCAAAAGTTGAGGAAATAGAAATAGAAATAGAAATAGATGGGTTGATTCCCGGCCTTTTTAGCATTAAGTTGCTTTTACGCAGAGAGGAGCCTCCAGTGGAGAGGAGCACAATCCGCTCTGGGAAGGGGCTCTGCCACCCTGTTTCTGAATCGATCCGTTATTTGACACCCCCAGAACAAACCCACATCTCCCGCCTCCAAATCCCGGTGGGCTGCCTCTGTGCCGAAGATGGCAGACTCAACCAGTCATAAACTAAACCGGAAGGTTTCCCTGAAGCGCAGTCTCCCGTGGCCACGTTAAAAAACGGATGTCAAACCTGTTTGGATGGCATCCATTTGGCATGGACAATTCGGCACCTTTCCGTCTGTGACATCTTGTGGACGGTCCCCCTCTGCCCCGCTGGTGTGGGTTGTTAGTTTTGTGTTTGTGTGTGTGTCCCCTTAACAGTGTCGGTGTTTAGAGAAGAGGAGCCTTCTTTTAGTTGTGTATGTTCACATTTTCATTTGGGTAAGGAGAGCCAGGCTTTTTGTAGCTTGTGAGGAAAGTACAGATAGAAAAACAAGGGGAGGTGATGCCAAATTCCTGCACGCATGAGACCATTTGTTAGGATGTTTCACGTGAGCACCTTAAAATAGGGAACACCCCCCCCACAAACAGCCTGAGTTTCTTCAAGGTTAACATGAAAATAGATCAGACATTACAGTTAGGATCAGTTCTGTCTTCAAGAAAGGTAGAACTTGGAAAAGTTTTGAGCTTTGACTGCAGAACCTCTTCTTTTTTTAACCTCCAAAACTCACAAGCTTTCTGGGGCCTCAGCTTTTGCAGGCTGCAGGTCTGCTTGTGGGCCTGACGAAGTGGGTCACCCTCCATGAAAGCTCGCTCCCAATAAAACGCAGCATGAGCCAAGAGGCCACGTGACTGTCAGTTGGCTTTTTTTGTGGTGACCGACAACCACGTCTTACACCACCACCCCTCCCAAAGTCGACTCTAAACAACTCCTTTCTCCAGTTCTCTCTGTCTCTCTCTCGCATCTCAAAAGTTTGCCCATTTCGTTGAAACAGAACATCAGAGCAAGACAGAGTTTGGGAAAGGTCAGATAATATGGGGATAACAAACACAATATGCCTCAGTAGGGAATTCTGGGCTTTGTTGTCTGCAGGTCACATTACTAAGCTCTTGAGTCCAAGACAGGAGAAGCGAATGTCTCTAGAGGTAGATTGCAAGAAACGAAGAGTCCTCAAGAGGTGGCTCTGGCATTGAAGCATGTCTGCTGGGAGAGAAGTAACCTGGAGGGTGGGGGGATGTTCCCACACATGAGGTTGAAAGCCTTGGGTTGATTTAGAGAAGTGAGAGATGATGGATGTAAAAGAGAAGGAGTTGATAGGAAAGAGACAGTCAGCCAGCCAGCGAGAGAGGAAGGAAGGGGGGTGGAAACCCAGGCGTGCCCCTTGGGCGCAATTAATCATATCACACATTTCACTAAGATACCCAGAAACACAGATGTGTGCATGACAAATGAAAGTTAAGTGATCCTGTTTTCCATTGGGTTTTCTTAATTCACTGAAGTGCAGAAGGCACAGGGTCCCGGTGTTCTCTGGTTGTGTCAGACTACAGTTCCCATCCTTCCCAGCCAACGTGGCCTGTGGTTGGGGAAGATGGAGGTTGCAGTAGAACACTACAGGAGACCACTGTGTTAATACTCCAGGCCTAGTCTCCTGCTCTGCTGAGAGTTGTTAGCCTGGGACTCAAGAGACCTGGGTTCAAATCCTCACCAAGCCATGAAACCCCGTTGTTGCAAGGAGATGAGGAGGTAGAGAAAAAGTCTTGAGCACCTTCAATTTACAGCCCGTTCTAAAGTCCAGTGCGAGACAACCCATTGAGTCAACGGCACTTCATAAGCCCATATTTATCCAAGACCCACTGATTCAACTGGTCCACTTTAATTGGGACTCACAGTTGATTTAAACCCCTTCTGTCTAAAAGATGAGTCAAGGCACTTGTAGAATTACCATATTTTTCTGTGTATAAGACGCCCCCATGTATAAGACCCCCCCCACTTTTCTAATCCAAAATTAAGACATCTAAGTGGGGCTTAGCAAGTGTAGGGGGAAAGGGAGAAAAGCGCTGCAGAATTGCTTTGATCCCTGCTTTCCCCTCCACTTGTTTTTTGCTCTCTCTCCTCAGCATACTTCCGTGTATAAGACAACCCTCAATTTTTAATCTAAAGATTTTAGACAAAAGTATAGTCTTATGCATGGAGAAATACGGTAACTCCCATGGATTGCAGTGGCGCTTGCTCTCAGGTAAGGTGGTAGAGCAGGGATTTCCAACCTTGGGTCGCTCAAGTGTTCTTGGATTACAACTCCCAGAAGCCTTCACCACCCACTGTGCTGGTCTGGGTTTTTGGGAGTTGCAGTCCAAAAACACCTGGGGGACCCAAGGTTTGGAACCACGGCGGTAGAAGATTGCAGCTGTGTGAATATACCCTTGTGCAATACATACATACTGAAGTATTGACATATATAGGAAGACCTGCAGCTCTTATAGTATCATTTGTCTGATGGGTGTTAAATCTACCACCCAGACTAGACCTTTGGTCTAGATGGGCGGGATAGAAATCTAATAAATAAATACAGTTGGGAGTAAGGTGTGTTGCTGGCACAGACGATGGGCTGGTAATTAGCACCAGTCAAAACTAGCACCACGAACCTTTCAATTTATCTTTGTTATTTACGCCAGTTTTTTCTCTCTCATTGGGCAGGATAGAAATCTAATAAATAAATGCACAGACGATGGGCTGGTAATTAGCACTAGTCAAAACTAGCACCACGAACCCTTCGGTTTATCTTTGTTATTTACGCCAGTTTTTTTCTCAATTTAATAGCTGTTTCCTTCCTTCTTTCCTTAGCTGGTGATCTATTTTTGTGTTTGTTAGTTCCCTTAATGATTGCTGCCTGCAACTGACGTCTGAACCTGCCCCCCTGAGAAAGTGAACATTATTCTTGATTATTGTTTTTCCCCCCTCCTCCCCTCCATCCTCGCTCTTTCTTTTCCAAAACCAGACAAACCAACTTGTGTTGTCCTCTGGCAAAAGTGAAACTACTTTGGCTGCTAAAGCCTCGATCCGGTGACTCGATCCAATGAAGGCAGAGCCATAGAATCGGGGGGCGATTTGTACCCGTTTTGGCTGACCGTTTAGCAGCCGGTTCAAGGGGTCCGCTCTGATTGTGACCCACGATTGAACAGAAGCCCTGGATTTTTCACCAACCGTTCCCTCCTCCCTCAACCCATGGGGAGGGGCTTCTGAACGTTTCCTTAATTAGATCCCGTCATTTCCTGGAACGAGACCCACAACAATTACATATGATGGACCGCTTGGTCTGCCTTGGCAGCTTCCCAGTCCTCCTCCTATGGATTATTCATCGATCGGCATAATTTCACTTTCTCCCCCTGCACTCCCCACTTCTCCTGTGTAGTGATCTTTAAATGTTTAATACTCTCCTTGGACAGCCTGAATATTTCCATGTCCCTTGGGGTTTTTTTTTATCCCAAACAGTTGCAGGTGGAGATGAGGCATGTCTGGATGGGACCTTTCTGTTGCCTCAAATATTCTCGCCATTGTCTGTTTCTCACCCCCCCATGCCTT